ACACTAAGACCATGATGACATAGATTAAGCTACCTTTCCTGTGCTGCAGATGGCTGTTCTTAAAGTGGAAAAGTAGAAACATGACAACCGAATTTGCACAGAGATGAAATCTAACCATATACCAAGCAACAAGCTCTACTTGGAGCTTTTCTTTGGGGAGCAAACTGTTCCTTCCTACTGGAAGAGCCAAGAAGACAATGATTAAAGTAACTACAAGAAGCAGCTTACTGCACATGTTGACTGTAAGAACAGCACAGTTCCACTTTTTTAAAATTTACTTTAACCAGGACAAAAAGACACCAGGAATACCACAAGTTGTACCAACTCAGCAAACTGCTAAGTGTCTGGGAAAAGGGAAGAGACAATCACAGCACTGGCAGCAGCGAAGGACCCTATGCCAGCAGCAGGCAGTGAACTTCAGCTCTCACTATCATATGAACAAAGGTTTCTGCCAGGCCCCCTACAGCTGCTCCTGAAGCTTTCTGAAAGGTGAAGTTATCAGAGAGGATGAAGGATGCCAATGAGCCTCCCTCCAGCTCTTTCCTGTATCTGTGTTTGAGACAGCATATTTTTCAAATGAGATCTACATTTGAGAAAAATTATCAGGGTCTATACTTAACTTCTCCAAGACTTTTTTACATGAAAGTCCAATACAAGTAATAAAACTTAGCAGTCATAAAACTGAACAGTGATGTCACTTCTTGCTCCTGTTTCTTTCTAATCCTGATCTGCTAGAAATCAGCTATTCTGTTGTAATAAACAGTAGAAAACTGAGGTGCTTGTATATATGAACACAACTTGGCAGTCTAAACACTTGACAGCGTACCCTCCTACCGTCTATGACCATTTCAGTAGATGTCAAATACAATGATTAGAACAACACCATGTTAACATTGCAATACAGGATGATTATTCAGGCAATTTTCACAGAAGATAAGAACAATCCACATGCAATTTACCATTTATGCTGTGCAAGATCAGTGCATTTTTACCAGCAACCTGAGTTCTCAAACACTATAATATTTACTTAAGTAAATATAACAGTTTTACTACTGTGGATAGTAATTCCCTCACCAGACTCCCTATAATATTTTTGTATAAGAATTTTCACCTTTTACACTGGTGGCTTGAAAACACCAGAGGCAATGAAGATTCAATCACCTTTTTAACAACATTTGCTAAAATTATTTTGATGGATTTTTGAGACTAGAAATTCAGTAATGGGTAAAAATTATATTGTGACTATTTTTGTACCATCCCTTGAATTCCTTCCTCACCCCCAGGCCTCCCTCCCTCAATGTCCCCTAAAGTCCAACTAAGTCATAGAAGATGGCAACAAATTATTTTCCTAATATTTAACGTCAGTATTTAACCAAATCCTTATGTATGTCATCTTCCTCTGTACAATACAAGTACAGCAGTAGCTTGCAGACCAAGACATTTCAAGAGCTTTTCACTAACAGATGAATTTTAAAAAACAAGTTCAACAAACAATCTATTTAACATCTTACACCAAACACTTCTGCTAAAACAGGACATAGAAAATGACTAAAACTCCTATTTGGAACAAAACAAAAAAGTGACTTTAATTCACTAGAATGTCAGAAAATATCAGTCAATATATCTGGATCAAGTTGCATAAAAATATTCTACAGATACTTTTCTTAGTCTATATACAGTTTTCCTATATGGAGGATTAGAAGCAACCTCTATCATTATTGAATTTCACTTCTTTCTCACAGGGACTCATTTGTTTAATTGGATAATTATTACTTATTTCTAGTATTAACATATAAAAACTAATATACCATTTTCAATGGACACTTTCTTAAAGTGATGATAACACTTGGAGATTAACAAGATAAATTTAAATCCCTTGCTAATCTGAAGAACATCTATAAAGGGCAATTATAGTGCAAGTTTCTTTACTGGCATTACCTAACCTAGTAGACATTCCTAAAGGTAGAAAACATTCCATGTGCGTGCTCACTCAAAATCTGTGACTGCCAATTATCAAAGGTATTTTTTGAATTCTTAAGAGGACTTCCTCAATATGTCAACTTTTGTTTCATAATTTACATTTTCTGAAACAAAATTAACACTCCACATAGACTCAGCAGTCTGGTGTCACTTCAATGCATTATTAACTCTTAGCAATAAAACAGATCTGGAATGCACCTTTTTATAAGGCTTGTTTATCTGACATTACCTGATTCCACTGTAAACGAACACATTTTATTCCAGCAATTGCAGAGAAAGAGTGTGAAACTTGGCAAAATGGCTTATTGTTGGGGCCAGAAACATAAATTAGACATTTCTGGCTTTGGTAAATATTTGTAACAAGTTCTAGATTTAATCAGCAGGATCTTCAGTATGAACAGATATTAATGGGAAGTTGTGGAATACATTATTTCAGTTCTACCTGAAAATTCCATAACGAAACTATTGTTTAACATAACAAAAAAGGCAGAGTGTGATTATTTTGCAACCTTTGGCTTCATTTGGAACACAAGTGATTTGGATTCTACTTCTATTAAGAAGGTGATGTAAATTAATGGCTGAAATCTTCAGTACCATTCTTCCTAGTATTTACCTAACTGGCTTAGTCACTCAGATTTAACTCTGTCCCAGTTTGATAGGTTTTTACTTCCCTCTCCAGAAGCTGAAAAACATTTGAAGAAGGAAGGCAAGTATGACCAGTAAAGATGAGACTAACACAGGATAAAGATCTACAATTTGAAGCACAAAGAATTAACTGTTTCTAGCTAGAAAAGCCACTTGATTCTATCAAAAAACTTAATGCTGAAGGAATAGACAAAGGACCAAACTCAAATAAAGAAGCAACCGCTAAAGAAGATTCATGGTTTGGGGGAAACAAGGCAATACCCATAGATTCTGACAGCCAGAACTCTGAGACATCCTTTTGAAAAACAATGCCTCTTAAAACCAACCCCAGCAAACCCTTACCTACGAAGGGCATTGCAGCACTTTCACACAATACTTTAAACCAACAGGTGTTCTCTGTACCCAGGCTTACTTCACTAAGAAAGGAACAGACTCCAACACACAGGAAGTTGAAAACAGTTTATGTCAATATGCTTGCTACTCCACTGGAAAAAAACTACTTTAAATTCAAACCTGAAGGCAGTCGTCTCAAGATACTATGCAAGGAAGGCAGATGGAAGGTTACATAAAATTTGTCAGTGTTCTCTTTCATATTATTTTTTATACTCTTTCAAGAAATTAATAGCCAGTACACTGCATTTCTTTCCTTAACTGTGGTTTATCTCTTACTAATACTTTTCTCACTGTCATCACATGCTGAGTCAGAGAATCAGTGGTACAAGGATGCTTCATTGCATATCATCTGAGCATAAAAAAGAAGCCATTTTAAGGAAATAGCTATCTGAAAATGAAAATTGTATGAGGGCAATAAATAAATTCCTTGGTGCCACTTACCTGTTGTATGAAAGCAAAAAGCTTCTGTAACACGGATTTCTGAGTATCATCCAGTGATACAAAAAATCACATACCAACTCAGGTGCAGAAAACCAGTTCTGTGTTCCACTATCCACCACACCCACCCAAGAATGATATCAGTGTACTAAACATGGATATGTCTAGATCTTTATAAATCTTATGTGGAAAGTATTCCCTAGATTATGACCAAGACTTTTGCTCTTCAAGATGATTTATCAAGTAGCTTTACCATTCCTCTATTTTAACAGGAAACTTCTCAGCAGAGAAAAGCTGATTAAATACAATAAAATTGGAAGATCTGTTGTCCTAGACATATTGTTTCAATAAACATCTAGAATTAATAAATTCATTCTTCTTTTCTAAGGTATTTAACAAGCTAATGTATCCATGTCTTGAAGGGCACTAGGCGAAACAGACAAAAAGAAACAATTTGTTCAAAATGGAGTGGGTGTGATTCTACAGTCTCACAAAACATCCACCCATCACTCGAATGGTAATGTAAAGACATTAGCCATATGAAATAGTTTACCATTTGCCAAATGGAGTGTACCTGTAATCCACCAGTAAAAAATAAATTGTACTACACAGACCGGTTCACCTCCTCCTAAACACCTATAGCCCAGTAAAAATATAAAATACTAGTAAAAATGATAAAATGCAGAGACAGTGTTCAAACACGCAGGTGATTGTTGTCTGTCCCACAAGATAATAAATCCAAAAGAAAAAATCTTCCAAAATGAACAGGTAAGTCAGTATCTTCTTAAGACAACCAGCATTAGTGCAGGAGAAAAATAAGTATAGCCATATGAATTTTACAAGGTCATGTGACACTCGTGTATACAGACACTCCTCCTTTCCCTCCCACCATCAATGATTTTCCCCATACAGAAAAGATAATATACCACACTTCCATTTCATTAAAACCAACGCAGGCATCAAGCTTGCTTGGGAGGATCTTTGCAAACCAGTCTACCTTGAGCAGGTCGTATGGCTTAAAAAGCTTAACAGATTTCAGGTCTGGTGTTGGGTTTTTAACCCATCATTCCTCCGTGCACAAGGAACGAGGCTTTGCGCGTTTTGTTCCGCGGCTGGCAGCGCGCGCCTCGCCGATGCCTGCGCCGGGGACCCGACTGCCTGCGGCTGCACAGGGTGGAGACTCACCCAGGCTGACATTGTCTGCATGCCACACACTACATCCCTCGCGCATCCCCGGCTGGCTTCCCAGCCTCTTCCCAGGCATGCCTCATTCGGGGAAAACCCGGGGGGCACACACATACCAGAATCCTCCACCAGTCACCAGAGCCTCTTCAGAAAAAACCCCCGATGGTGCCCGGGGCGTGGAGGGGCACAGGCGCGGGCCGGTGAACGCGCGCCCCTCCCGCGCCCCTCCGCTCCGGGGCTCCCGCCCAGCCCCGGCGGTGGCTCGGGGGCCGAGGGGACGCGGCAGGAAACGCCGCCCGTCGGCTCTGCCACCGCCGCCCCCCAGAAAAGAGCGACATGAAGGCGGCTCCACCACTCACCTCGCCCCGGCTCCCGGGGAGCCCCGGCGGGCAGCGTCGACGCCCCACAGAACAGAGGGGCGAGGCGCGCCGGATTCGCTCCTGCTCGCTGCCGGCGGCGGCACCCGGGTCCGCTCCGCCCGCAGACCCCCTCGGCGGCTGCTGTTGCTGCTGCTCCTGCTCCTCTTGCCTCCACTAATGGTGGCCGCCGATACCGGTTCCTTTCGCCGCTCCCTTCCTTTCCCGTTCCTTGTTTCCGCCGAGCGCGGAACCGCCTCCGCCCGGCGGCCGAGGCGCGTCCCTGCCCAGCAGCGGAGACGCCGCTCCCTACACGCCGCTACCGCCCCGGGAGCGGCCGTTGGGCGCGCGGGGGGCGGTTGGGCGCGCGAGCGGCCGTTGGGCACGCGGGGGGCCGATGGGCGCGCGAGGGGCGGCTGGCTCGCGCGGAGCCGATCGATCCCCGCGGAGCCGATCCGATCAGATCCGATCCGCCGGTGCCGATCCCCGGAGCCCATCGATCCCCGCGGTGCCGATCGATCCCCGCGGTGCCACTGCCCGCTCAGCGGGTCCGCCCGCGCCGGGCGGTGGCCGGCGCGCTCTCGGGGGGCGCTGCCCGCGCTCCAGGTAGCGTGGGGCTGCGGTTGCGTCCGCAGGTAAAGGCGCTGCGGGACGTGCGCTGTTCCGATCACCGAAGGTTTCTGTAGTCAGCAAATTACCAAATCCTACCGAAATCCACGGTCGTGTGTCCCGCTGACCGGGGGCCAGCCGCGGGCCGCGCCGCCTCGGCTACGGAGAGTTTGCCCCCGTTCCTCGTCCTACCACAGCTTCAGGGCTGAAGTCACCATTTTTAAAGTTATTTACACAATGGAATAAACGCTACTTGCTTGCTACTGCAAGTGCTGCTGTAGGAGGGGAGACTCGCTGAAATACAGTTCATTGCCTGGGGGCTCCAAGCTGCAGCGCCGGAGGGGCGGCATGCACGCTGCGTCCGCCGGGAACGTGCTTCCCCCCGTGCTACAGCCGCTCTATTGTCACACGGCACAGGCATGTTTTACATCAGCGTTTATCTGTCAGGATTTGACAGGCACAAAACTTCAGTCAGTTAAAGTACAGTATTTTCCATAAATGTGAACAATTGTGCAAAATGACGCTTGTTTTACTGCTGTAAGTATACTAATTTAACAATGAGATTACAAGCTACGTCAACAGCAACATGAAGATCTGTTTAAAATACAAGCTAGTACTTGGAGAAAATTATTTTCATGTGTACATACAATTAAGTAATTTGAAAAACAAAGTTCACCCATTTAATTCTAACATCTAAAATCTTTGCTATATAAATTCACCTTAACATGTAATCACTTAAAAATTCTTGACAACATAATAAAATGTTGCAAATTAACAACATCCCAGACAAGTTAAGATCAAAGTTATGGATGCAGAAATATATAAATTATCAATATGGAATAAAAATACATGCATTCATCACCAAGAGACTACAGTTGTCTTCTGAGTTGCAAATAAAATATTTTATTCCAACTGTTCCAAATTCTAGACTGCTGCTGATACATTGCTTCATGGTTTATGAAGTTCCGCAATTAAGAGGCGTCTGGGATCACATTATTTAATAAGAGTGATAAGTACTTCAGTTTTCAGTGCTGTTCTGCACTTGCATATCAGCAGTGAGAGTGAGCTGGCAGACTATGAATCTGATGTTATCAGCAGGTTAAACTTTCATCTGGAGGTTGTATTAATCCCACCACACTTTCCTACTGATCCTCCGTGACCCTGGAGGGATTAGAATGACAACACCTCCCCCAGAAGCAGGCTTGAGATGGCCGGAGGAAGCACGGGGAGTGCATGGGCAGTGCAAGGAGCAGCTTGGGCATGCCATGGCCAGGTTCCTTATGGCAGCTCCAGGGCAGCTGACCCAGAACAGAAGCGCTGCCAAGTCTCACGTTCTGCACCACTGCAGCTCAGGAACTGCACAGCCATGAAGTGTGCAAAGCTTCATACCCTCAGCTATGAAATTCTCTCAAAAGGAAAAGGAGGCTGCAGCTGACTACTGCAAACTCTGGTTTTGCCACGTGGAAATATTCCCTTATATCAAACTTGCTAAGTTGTTCCTGAGCCTGAGCAGACAATAGACAGTAGAGTTGATTTAATGCAGGGTAGAGACCAGAGCTAGACCATTTGAAGCTTGAGGACCCGATTGGATCTGTGTGCATCCTACCCTACAGACATAAGTTACTAATGTAAAATCCTCCCCCAGGCCAAGGAAAGAATGCATACCTGCAGCAGATGTTGGGTAAGGTTTTCAAAGTAGTACAGGAAATTTAGTCATACATCTGCCAATGAAATTAACAGGTAATGAATTAAAAGAATAAGTGAAACCTTTTGAGAAGGTTAAAAGGTTGGTTTAAATGTATATCTGCATTGAAATAAAAAAGGATATAATTAATCATTTTTTTAATCAGGGCAATAATTTTAATCAGGGCAACCCTTTCTTCTCCCAAATGCTGCCTATGAATCTCAATTTTACTTGTAGCTAAGCACTGTTGGCAGCTGAGTTTCATTTTGAATCCTTCAAAGGTTTTATCTTCTGTATTTAAATAATCCTAAATAAGAAAGCATTTAATAAGCAAAGGTTACATAGGCTTCTGGATCGTTAGACATTGGGAGAATTTCCTTGAAGGACACACCAAGCAAGGACTAGAAATATGAGAGTTCAAAATTAACAAAAACCTCTCATCGTGATTGCTTTGTTGGACCTAAGAAAACTCAATGACTTGTGCAGTAGAAATTTCAGATTTTGGTGAAGCCCTGCTGGATCTGACCTAGACTGTCAATCAATATATGTGTGTGCATGTATAGGTACAAATATCCATGCAACTGTACCATCATGGAACCTCGAGCACCTATGGTGCTGCTCTAGCAAGAAGAACAGTCTGACTCTTTTCACCTGCTTCTTTATGAATTTATTTTGCCAACTACAGGGCTCAAGGCACAAAATCCTTAAATAGCCTTTCCTGTTCATCAATAGCTTGTTCAATCTATCCTGTATCTATTGCTGCTGCCCTAGCTATAATGGCATTTCCAAATGGGAATTCTGACAAAGTATTACAGTATTTCTTAGTAACAGGTATAGCACCCATAGCCATTAACATCAATAATTCAGTTCATCCAGACTTACGTTAAAAATGTCTTCTCTCAGATCTTATCTACTGTTCATAAACAAGGATACCTTGAAGCAGTTCTGACATTGCAGCAACTGGTATGATGACAGAAGTAGCCTGTAATAGGAATGCAGACTTAGGAGCTTCTGGGGTTTCAAGCCAGCCAGCATGATACAAAATCCATTGTAGAAACTCCTCATGTTCTACATTAAGGCCACTAAGCTTCCTCAAGGCTACTGTTTGGTGGGGAGGCTGCTGCTATTTGCATTGGGGGAACAGGCTCAGAGGAGCACCAGCACAAATACTGGAATGAAAATAACATTTTCTGGACTCATTTAATCAGTGTAAATGAGAAAAAATCTTGGGTAATTCCAGCTGAAGTACTCCTGAGTTACAGTGGGATGACAGCTCTGAATCCAAAGCATGGAATGTCTGTGGATGAAAATATAACCACTCTTTTCTTTATGCACTTTCTCTTCATTCCACCTCTGAGAACTAGAGAAGCATTCATTGTCTTTCTCAGGTGATGAGAGAATAAGCTACTTAGAGCCAGAAATGAAACCTTGTTCATAGCCAAGGTCTGAATTCTGCTCTTATCAATGCCAAATCAGTCCCTTGCTTGGGAGCGGACTTCAGACTTACTATTGATACCCTTTTTATGGAAATGTCAGCATTGCAGACTACCAAATCATCTATCTGTAGCAATCATTATCATTATCAGTCCTTTTAATGAAGACTCAAACCACCCCATCACACATCTCAACAAATCAGCCTGGCTAACACATGCCAAAAAACCATTTCTTCTTGACCCTCAAAGCAATCAGCGTATGCTGCTGAAGCAGGAAGCTTGTTTGTCCCCTGCATTGTTGTAATCTGGTGCATACAGCTGCAAATGTTGTCTTTGCTCACAAAGCTTCTTAAATCCCTTTTTTAATTCTACTAAACTCTTTGCCTTGATGACTGCCCATGACAATTGGATTCCATAGACAGAAAATATACTGTATGAAATCGTATTGAAAACGTTTTCTGGAAGGTTTTGCTCTATGAATTGGGGCATAGAGGCTGCAATTAGCTGGCTTCAGTACACACTTGATGAAATTTCATCTTAGAGGAAGCTCCCCTTGCCTCCATGATCTCTGCTACCCTCCATTACTCTTTATTCTGCACAGTTAATTTTCTGGTTCCTTTTTAAGTCATCTGAGGCAAACCCCGGCCCTCATGAATGTATCAGAGCACCTGTGCAGCCATGCACATAAAAACAGGGAAGGAACAACACACACACAGATTAGCATCTTCCAACATACAGGGCACCACAGGGACTCTCTGGACTCTCCTCCCAGGCTGAAGTCAGTAATTGATTTTAATGGGAGCAGGGCTGAGCTAATGCTGGCACTTTGGAAAATCCCACCCAAGGGATTCAGTGATATTGAAAGTGCTTGAGGCAGGTTAACTGCAGGCATTTCCACTAATGGGGAATGGCGCAGTTGTCTTTATTAATTTGCCTTCTCCAAAGTGCAATTAGAATGTATATATTTTTATATCCTTAGGAACAAAATAATGTAAAAGGATTCTGTTTCTAGAAAGTCTTACTGAAAGGCAAGTAAATGAGTGATTTTCTGCAGCACAGTTACAGGCTATAATATCTATCACAGTCCGCAAGAATCTATTAATACTCTCTTGCTGCCCTTCTTTTTCCTTCAGCTCACTCAATATGATTACAAGGGAAAATAAAGTCAATGTGGGTCCCAATCACAGCAGATGCACTGGCTATTTGTAAAGCAAGGTTTTTCATCATCTTCCTGGAGACAGGAGAACCAATACTTTTCTATCTGACCGTACCTTCAAAACCAAGAAGAAGAAATTTCACTGGTGAAGATGAATTGAAAAGTGGCCATTAATATGGGAAAGAAAAGGTAACATGAACTGGAATGAGGTGTAAACAACAGGAAGAGGGATGATGTAAACAAATGCTAGAGGACATTGTCTCTGTTATGGTCAGTTTTTGGAAAAGTCACTACAGGGTAAGCGTGGACTAAAAAAGGAACCAAAGCTATGGCAACCATTTTGCAAATAACTCTACAAATAAATACAGTCTTTAGCTGTCTCTGCAAACTATGAGATTACTCATCCATAAAAATGCTGAGGTTCTGGCATATTATTCACTTAAAATAC